CAAAATACAGCCTCTCGTGCCGAATCGTGTCCAATGGGGCCGATAGTGCCGGGAGGGGGCGGGGCAGACACTCGGGTGTTAGACTTTACTACCACTGAAATAGCACCAAAATACAGACTGTGGAGCCGAGTAGTGCCGAGTGGTGCCGAGTGGTGCCGGGTAGTGCCGGGAAGGGGTGGGGCAGACATTGGGGTGCCTTTAAACACCTCTGGTGCCGAGTCGTGTCGAATGGGGCCGACTAGTGCCGGGAGGGGGCGGGTAGTGCCGAGTGGTGCCGGAAAGTGCCGGGAGGGGCTGCAAAAGTGCTGAGGGCCGAGGCCAGCGGGGAAGCAGCAGATCGGAGGAAGAGACACAAAGAAAGACAGTGGCTGAGAGGCTGCAAGCATGCACGGAGCTTCTGGGCGCCGCCCCGGCGGGGTCGGCGGATAAAGGCGATAGCAGGAAAGGACAATCCGTCAGACTTAGGGACAAAATCCCTGACAAGGGAGAAAATACGGAAGTACATGCAAAGTCTGGGATATACAGGTGAGTATTTGACACAAGATGTTCAAGAAGTCCAAGAAGAAGCTGAAGTGCGAAGATCAAGAAGTGTCACAAGACTTGATGAAAAGGTGATTACAAGGATTATCCAGATGGTCACGACAGCTGTGTTGTTATCGTTGAAAGCAGCAAGAAAAGTCGGTGAAGAAGATGAACAAGGACTGGGAAGAGCAAGCGTAGTGATGTGCATGGTTGCAGCATTGTTGTACATGTGCATTACCAGTGCCGTTTTGCTCAAGAGTTTCAAGAAGAACCTCTTTGGAAGAGAAAGAAGAGAAGAGAAAGCCAAAGCAATGGCTGATGATGAAGGCCTGAAGGTCGTTATGGTTGAAAAGCGCAAGAGCATCAAATCGGTGCAGTACATAGAGCGTCTTCTAAAGCAAAGGAGAGAAGACAGGCCCTCAGTGGATGAAGTCTGGAAGCTTGTAGAGACGTTGAACGAGGATAGAGAAGACAAAGCTACAGATGAAGAGGTTTAAAGAAGAGAAGCAGCCAAAGAAGAAAGAAGAAAGTGAAGCTGCGTCCGATCCAGAATCCGATGAAGAAGGAGAAAGTGAGTCGGAAGAGGATGATGAAAATGACAAGGCGAAGAAAGGCAAAGAAAGAAAAGAGAACGAAGACCTGGAAAGCTTCAAGAAGACAGCCGAAGAGCTGGAAAAGGAGCAAGAAGAGCTCGAGAGTGCAAGAAAGGAAAAGGTTGAAGCCCTATAGTCAGAGAAGGTCGTCTTATCGGAAGAGATCAGGACAGGAATTATCGAACAAGGCAAGCTCATGGACCAGCGGTTGGAAGAGCTCAAGCAGATAGCTGAAGAAGCTAAGGAAAGGAGACAAAGCGTGGTATCAGCGGCGAACCAAGTCGCAAGTGAGGCAGAAGCTAAGAAGGAAGAAAAGGAAGAGACCAAGGAGGACAATCCAGACCCAGAGAAGGAATTGGTTGAATCCTCAGGTGAAGAGGATAAGCGAGCAAGGAAGGCATTGAAGGACGAGTTCGATGGGGAAAAGATGGGAATCTGGGAGACTGTGTCAGAAAGTGTCAATCTGCAAAGCATTCAAAAGAGCCTCCCAAGTGAAGACCTCGAACGCGAGTTTATCAAATGGTCTGAGACAGCTCGCAAGCCAGTGGCAAAGTTGCCGACAGGTTTTGGAATCAGGACAAGTGATTTGCTTTCCAAGCTCGATGGAGAAGCTGGTGAGTATGGTGAAAGCATATTGATCATGATTGAAGACGAAGAAAATGCAGAGAAAGAGTTCAAAGAAGCTCAAAAGGACCTGGAAAAGTTCGAGAAGGAGCTGAGGAAAGAGATGGAAGCTCGACTGGAAGAAAAGTGAAAGTCGTTAGAGAAAGGGAAGAAGACGTCATAAGCGCACGTGCTGACGTTAAAAGTGCAACGGTTGCAAGAGAGGCCTTGCAGAAGTTTGGCGAAATGGTTCAAACGGCTGATAGGTTGTTGAAGACTATGAGTGAAGAATTCGAGTTGGACCTATACAAGCAGCCGGAAGAACAGCAAGTGAAAGGAAGGGCAGTATTAGCCCAGCTGATGGCAAGTGTCAAGCGGAAGAGAGAAGGAAGCCAGGGTTCAAATCCCGTTACGCCGTCAGTATCTTCGGTCAAAGATTCGGTTGAAGGAACGCCGAAGAAGCCTCAGCCGAAGAAGATACCCGAAAAGTTCAAGAAGAGCATCATAGAAGATGAAGAGATCAAAACTGCAAACACACTGCAGAAGCAGAAAGAGTTGAAGGAGAAGTTGAAGCAGAAGTTCAAGGAGATCCCTGATGAAGTGATAGAGAAGAAGGTGGATCTCGGGCATATGAAGCCGAGTGAACCTGCAGGAGAGCCGCCAGAAAAGCCGAAGACCGTGAACGAGAGATGGCTCAAGCAAGGACCAAAGTATCTTACATGTTTTTACTGCGGAGATGTACAAGGCCATCGATCGGTATTGCCCGGAAGCGCCTAAGCCAAGGAAAGACAATGAAGCAAGGAAGATCTTCTGCAAGTACTGTTGGATTGTGTTTACCCATTGCAGAAACAAAGATTACCCATACAAAGGATGGGGAACGCACAGTCCAGACATTTGTTTTCATCAGAATGATGCTGAAGACTACATCCGTAGCAATCCCAATAAGTTTCCTGATGAACTCAAAGAGATGAAGGAAGCTGAAAAGGCTTGGAAGGAAGCTCAAAAGGCAAGTGGTTACCCACCAAAGAGCAGTTGGGGTACAGAGACGATGAAGCCGAAGAGGACAATGGATGAAAAGAAAAGGGATGAAAAGGATGAAAAGAATAAGAAGAAGAAAGCTGATAGGTCCAAGGACAGCAAGTACAAAGGCACCAAGAAGAAGAGAAAGCAAGAGTCCAGCTTCGATCAAGAGGAAGCTGCAAAGAAGAAGAAGGACCAAGAGGAAGAAGAGCTGATTTAAACCTCAGCATGAAGGTTGCGGTTTAATGGACAAAGTTGAGTGAGGGCGGAAAGCCGCCCAGGGCAAGCGAAAACACCGTAAAGGCAGGTGTATAAACAAGGCCGATGTTTCACAACCCACGCAAGAAGGGGCAGTAAGCCTATCCTTGTGTGTGAAAAGGATGGAGCTATGCTGAAGTGGATTCCAAGACAAGAGCGAAATTTCACGGAAAGGCGTCCGACGCCATCGAGAGCAAAAGCTAAAGTCCCACGACAAAGCACAACGAACGTGTTTGAAGAAAAGGTTGAAAAGCCAGCACAGAAGGCTCACAAAGCCAAAGTTCTTTTGCAAAGACTCTGAAAGAGTTATGCCGAACAAACTACCTCGTGTACCGCGAGATGGAAAATAGTGAGAGCGCCTGAGTTTGTAGTTGGCAAATGAGACTGTTGTAAAACAATGGTCAGTTTAACAGTTTCCGTTTACAGGACTACAAGCCAACGACATCCACAACAAGCACAGAAGGAAGAAGAAAGAAGAAGCCAAGAACGGTTAAAAGTGCTGAAAAGCGTGCGAGAAGTGAAGATTAAAGCTCACAGGAGCATGCGAGAACCGTGGTGGATGTAGGAAAAGTTTCACAATGATCGCATTACACGACAAAGCTGTGTACGCGATGAGGGCGTAACAGATAGTTCAATTTCCCCTACGTACAGAAATACACAGGAATCCAGTGTTTCACCGCAGGTCAAACCAAGGCTCAAGCACGGCCCAACAGTGGAGCTTAGAGTGGAAAAGAATCCGAAGCTCGTGCCGTGATTATAAGAAGTATACTGGTATAAGGGTTTAAACTTTCATAGTCGCAAAACGATTTCTTTGTGAGGTCAGATGAGGTTCGATGCTTTTGAGTGCCTGTTACGATCAGTGCCCGCCAAGCACAGAGCACGTTCGCGCAGCGTTCAATTGAAAATTGTAATTGTTGTAATATTAATAACAATATTTGTTGTTGTTGTTGTTGTCTTCGTTGTCTTTGTGAGTGATGATTTTGCTTTCTTGCAGAAGACTGCTTAGCTATGATTTGGAATGGTTGCCTGTTGATGTGCAATTGCTGTTGGAACAGATGTTGTTCAGTGTTTCTTGTTGTAGACATTGACAGCAGTATTTGTAGTGGGCTGTATGTGTTCTATGTTTCCGTGTCAATGGGTTTTGTCACCCTTATATGTTGTGGGTGTCTGTGTGTGTGTGTGGTTGAAGATTTCCATCTCCAGCTTCAAATAATTTAATGGGCACTGGCCGGGTTATAAAAATCCCGATCCACCCAACCGTCTGTCTCGAATCCTAACCAGATTCTGGCTCTGCTTCCGTATTGTAGGTGTACCGGTTGTTATGATCGGAGGAAACAACAGAGCCCTGTTCAAGTAACACAGACGCCAGACAGTTCCTTTGCTGTTGGATAATTAGTAATATTAGGAAGGAACCTGTCTTTCCAGCAGAAATCCTCGTCCACCACAGAGAAGCACTGCTTCCATGTTTTGTCGACGATTGGAAGAAATAACAGAGAAGAAATTACAGAGCCCTTCTCAACTCAACAGAACCGCCAGCCAGTTCCTGGGTTGTTTGGTTTGCTCTCCTGCTGGGAGAGCGGGGTCAAGTTCCCCGTTCTTCGCAGGGAAACATAAAGGGCTCCTTCATTCGTTATCATTGGCCAGAACAGTTCCTGCGATCTTTTGATTTTTGGAAGAATGGCGAGCTCCCTCCAATGAACCTGAAATACATTCTATCATAGTTGAGGTTAAAGTATGTCGGGCTTCTTGTGTTTTTTGAAGTCACGAAGCTGCTCGTTTCATCATATCATATTCAAGCAGACTCCCTTTTCAAGAGGAATAACCCGCATAAACGTCAAGACATGCTAACTTTTCAGCACGAAATGAGGATAACCCTTGTCTCCTCATAAGAAACTTGGAAGTATCTCTTCATGTATTTTTGCTTGACCCCCAATTGCGCCAAAAGCTAAGACTAATTGTTTGTCGCTTTTCGTGCTTCGTGTAGAGCACGGTATGAGACTGAAGGCATTGAAGGCGCTGCAGAATCGTGTTGCGGTCTCGGGCATGCCACTCCGGCACTCGGATGCGGTAATTACATGTCCGGCACCCGTCTTTAATTGCTTTTAGCATATAGTTATTTCAACGTATGTTTCGTGGCCTTTGCCATAACAACTGTTTAGCTATGTATAGCTGGTGCTTTCTCCGAGCACCACCGCGATTGCTACGAAGGGCATTTTGACAGGGCCGAAATGGGGGTTGCAAGCGAGGCCTCCGGCTCGGGCGATTCTGCCGACACAGAGCTGAGGCTCGACGAAGTTGTCGCTGATGGCTGCCTTCTGTTTGAGGCTTAGGATCTAAAGTTTCGGAGTGACTGATAGGGCGTCGTGTGCGGGTACCACACGGGGTTTCGGATCTAGTGTTTTGGGCTCACAGGCTTCGTTGGTGTTCCTGGTGTTTTTCCTTCGCGCGCTTTGGTCGAGTCGGCTGTTCAGCGGGCGCTACGTACTTATGTCAACCGGTGGACATAGGAACGGCCTGGGTAGGCACGCCGGACAACTGCACTCCGCTTCTCAAGGCGGCGGCCGTCTATTGCGGCAGCGAAAAGACAAAAGAAGGCCACGTCCTAATGTAAAGCACGTGAAAGGAGGAAGATATTTTTTTTGCAACCAAGGCAAAAGTCCCCGGTCAACAGAAATCGGCGTCACAAGCGAGCTCTTCGAGCTTCGGTCTCGCTAGGTTTCAGGCTGGACAAAGACCATTATCCTGCATCCGGTAACAGAATACAGGCAGCTAGTAAGTTTGCATCCGCACCGATACAATGCTCGGTTATTTTGCGTCCTGCATTATGCAAGGCCATTGAAAATCTGGGAGCTCACAGACTTTTGGTCGGAAGCTCACTGGGGCCAAAAGAGCTCGGGGCCCCCAAGTTTCAAAAGCCCAAGCCCAAGTCACATCCCGGCCTGCGCATTATCCACCAGCCTGGCGCCCAACACTCCCTGACTTGGCCACTACGCAAAGTGCAGCAAACAGGGCCGTCTGACGGCGCCCGAAGCCGAAGGGCCGACAGTCGGCGCCCGAAGCACATGGGATGAGCACGTCCTTTCGACTTCTTTGAAAAAGGGCGCCCACGCAAGCCCCGAAGGGCCAGGCCGTCAAAGGCAGCTGCAACAGAAGCTTTTTCGCGCTTACGGACCTAAAGCCACAGCACTTCTGCCCGTTCTCAGAGAAATCGAAAGGAATGGCACACCCATGTCTTCGAGGGCCAAAGACTTCAAGCAAGAAGTAGCCGTGGCTGAGACTCCTCTGATACACACGCTTTGCGCGTGTTGACCACCACCAGCAGGCACATTGGCACATTGTCCTGCTGACACCTCGATGTACTGAGTGCTGGCCAAAATGATGGCCGCCAAAGGAGACCAAACATATCGGCAAACTTGCACTTGCCGGCAACTCCAAAAGCACTGTGAGTAGAACTGTGCACATCTCCAAACATTGCAAAATGGGCCGAAGGACGGCACGCGAGACTGAAACGGCTATAACAGACAGTGCGCTCCTGAGGGACCTTGACCAGAACCGTGCTTCTCCAAGCTAAGCTGAGCGGGCCGGCGGACGGCGCCCTACACGGAAGTGCCTGCAGCAGACAGGGCCAAGCAACGGCTACCGTAACAGAAGTGCCGATAAGCAGCTCCTGAAACACAGTGAGCAGAACCGTAACCGTAACACTCTCCAAAAGCAACGTTGGGCCCTTAGGGACTCGCAGGGGATCCTCAAACAAAAAAGTTAGGAAATTTGCGGCCATTTGAAAAGCGAAATAAAGCTGCTCGCTGAATGGGCCGACAGACGGCGCACATCACGGAAGGGCCTGCAGCAAAGAGGGTGGACCTGCGGCTCCCAAAGCTGAAGGGCCAATGAACGGCTCCTGGAGTTCTGTGGGCAGAACTGTGCACGTCCCAAAGGCAGCTGAATGGGCCGGCAGACGGCACCCAACCCGCAGAGGCCTGCAGCCAACCGGGCCGACCTGCAGCTCCCGAACGGCCCCCTAAACCCAGTGAAGGACCGCAAGAAACTTCTCTGAAAAAGGGCGCCCAAAGGGCGGCAGCAACCAAGGAGCCACTGCGCTTGTGCCCGTTCGCAAAAAACTCGAAATTGGTTCCACACTCCTCGAGAGGAGGGTCGCACCGGTTAAGCGTGCCGTAACGGGCCGACAGACGGCACCTGAAGTACTGTGAGCAGAGCCGAGAACGTCTCCAAGCGCAGCTGAGTGTGCCGGTAGACGGCTCCCAACACGCAAAGACTTGCAGCAAACAGGGCCGATCAACGACTTCTGAACCTAAGTGCCGATATAGCGGCTTCTGCGGATGTTGCTAACTGCAGTTCGAGTCAAGATGTGAAAAAACCATAACAAAGATAACCAAATAAGAAATACATGTAGTCTTGAAATCGGCTCGCAAATCACCAGTACAGAGAAAGACGAGTCTCTTGAAAAGGAGAATGCCTACATGTCTGGGAGGGCATGGCCGTTTTCAAGTGTAGTCTGAGGCAAGACGCAATAAGACGCAAATAGCAGACATCATCCCAACGAAGAAGTCCGTGCACGCCAAGGGGGCTACGACCCCTGCACTGAGTGCCGCTTGGTGCCGCTTGGCACAGTGCGCTGGTCCAAAGATTGGCAGCCAGGGAGACCGGCTCGCAGAACTGTACTTAGCCGTCTAAAACATCCCATTTGACGGAGAAGCACTGATAAGGGGCCGAAGAACGGCACACCTAACAAAAGCGCGTGCACAGGACGTCTTGCTGCTATCCTGTGCAGTCGTCCGGTGCTGGGACACCATGGGAAGTCCGTGGACTACTGCCACTACGTGGTTCTCCCCCCGTGGGGGGCCCTTGGGGAACCCTCACGCCAGTCATCAGATAGCCTCGAAGCTGTGCCCTGAAAAGCTGATGACCCCCGGCCTTGGGACCGGGCCGAGCGGAAACAGAAGCTGGGCAGTGGCTTCCTTGCCAAACTCTACCGAAAGTTGTCGTGCAGAACACGTGTGTTCGTAGTGACAAGCGTAGCGAGAACTTTCCGAAGAGAAGCCTTCGCTGTTCGCAACAAGAAGGCCCGAGGAAAGGACGAGCGAGCTAGCCTTTTTCGCTTTTTCGAAAGCAGAGCGCCATGGCTGGCTCATGGGGAGACTCGACCACCGGGTCGCAGGTGGACCTTTGGGCAGCCCTCTTCACGGTCGTCCACTCGACAGATGAAGACCGGCGCCCACTCATGCAGAGGTTTGACCTCGACGACTTGGTTCGCCTGCGACGAGCGGTCCAGCTCGCCATCGACGAGCAGGTCGAGCACAGCCTGGACGAGGCCGACGCTGCGGCCGCCAAGGCTGCCAGTGTGCCGCCAGTGGTCGCGCCGCCCGACGCTGGAACACACAGTTCGACCGCGGCCAGCTCGTCTACCGGTGCGGTCGCAAGCATAGCTGTGATGACACCCACAGCTTCGGTGGCCACCCCTGCAACGGCAAGTTCGACGCCGGCGACTTCGACTGGTCAGGCGCCGGGGGTCGCAACTACGACGGCCACCAAGAAGGCAGGTTCGCCGCCAGCCAAGGACCCCACAACAGGGCCGCCGCCGCAGCTCCTCGTGCCCAAGACCATGTCCGCGGAAGCCAAGGCCTTCAAGAAAGCAGACCCGCCGCCACTGGTCGTGACAGTAAACGCGGACCCGCCTCCTTTGAGCAAGAAAGGAAAGGGTCGCGGTGGCCAGGCAAAGCCGACCTCCCCTCCGGCGAAGGCGGCGCAGGTCACAGTGAAGGCCACGCCAGTACAGGTCGCAGCGCTGTTCGCGGGCACGGTGACGCCACATGCGCCACAGTACGCCCCAGCCGGCTTACCTGCACCATGGCCGCAGCGTGATGTGGAGTCGGGCGTCACTTTTCGCGATGAGCCCCCTCCTTTTACAGATGTCTCTAGCGTTTGTAATGTTCGCTGCCCGTCATGCTGGATGCGAGCATGTCCGCGAGTGAATCGCCCGGGCTACAGGCGGGTGCACGAGCACCACTTTTGTGGCTTTTGCCACACCGAAGCCAAGCGTTCGGACCCGAGCAGGACATAGTCTGTTCGCATGCTGCCGCAGCCCCAGAGTGTTACAACCTAGTCGCTAAGTTCGCGTTAGTGTCGTGGCGTTTTTGCAGCATGTTCGGGACGATTGCCCTCGGGCTTACGACCCTTCGGGGAAAGACCGTTGCTGTTCGCAGCCAAAAGAAAGCCAGAGTGAATCGCAGTCGGGACAGTCATGCCGCAGTTCGCTTGCCTCTGGAAGGTCGCAACAGGTCCCAGGCAGGCAGACATGTCTGGCAGGTCGTGCAAGGTACCAGGCAGGCAGTCATGTCCGGCAGGTCGTGCAAGGTGCCAGGTCGACAGTCATGTCTGGAAAGGTCGTGCAAGGTCCAAGGCAGGCAGTCATGTCGAGTAGGTCGCTCTAGGGTTGCGGTAGGCACTCGGCTCTGGAAGGTCATGCAAGGTCGCAGGTAGGCAGTCGTGTTCGAAAGCCTCGCTAAGGTGCTACTAGACACTAAGGTCTACAGGTCGGCAGGTCGGCACAGCACTCCTGTATGTTAGGGTACGCACAGGGTCCCACAGGGCCGCTGGTGATCACGGTCGCAGTTACACGAGTGCTAGGCCTAAGTACACTACCGTCGGAACACGGTTCAAGCCAGGTACTTCCCCCTAGCAGCATGTACCACATACAGTGCCCACATGACCGGTCGTCGTTCGCGAGTTTGGTGCACATTCTGGCTAGTCTCGACCTACACGGCGCTCTCGAGCCTCTCCGTTCCCACGGGATTCGGTCCGCAGAAAATCTGGAGAACACCCCTAAAGCCCAGCTCCGGTCGTGGATCGGCGACACTGCTATCGACAAACTGTTCAATCGGTCGGTGGCCAGGCCAAGGACCCGGTCGGATGCCCCAGTTGTGCACCCGTATCAGCGGGGTTCGCGAGTCGTGGCCGCGGCCGTTCAAGGCGAGAGCGCCTTGGAACAAGCAGACAAAGCCTTTCAGGAGGACAAGTTCGCAAGGAGCTCGAGGGGGTCTCGGGAATCCCGCTGGAAGCTATGGTGCTCCCTGGCGGAGCAGAGGAGCCTTCCCCCTCTGCCGATTACAGTCGACCTTGTTGATAAGATCGGGGCACTTTTCAAGCAGGCGCGATACAGGTCGGCAGCGCAGTACTACAGTGTCGCGAAGTCCGAGCACAGGGCACAAGGTTACGAGTGGTCGCCTTCGTTGGACCACGCGGTCGCCCAGGCTGTTCGCTCGATCA